CATCTCCACGCCGAAACGGCCGTCCGCGCGACCACACATCCCGTCGAGATGCGGCTTACCGGTCCACCACCCAACCGCCGGGAACATACAGTTCGGATTCTACCGAAAGCTGAAGGGTTCGGTGTGCGAGGCGGACTACAGCACCAACACCTTCCAAATGCACGTCCCCCTTCACACTTTGGGACCTCTGCGCGACATGATGGATTCTTTTTGATACTTCCGGCGAATCTCGATATGATGTTCGCCATCATAATGCAGAAAGCAGCGGTAGCGACAGCGGCGTTGTTTGTCGGCACTCGCGCATCTCGATCCGAGGCGTCCTTTGTTCGCCTCGACTGTTTTTTACACGACGAAGTGTACCAATATCTAGTTTAGGATAGTTCGGCTTCCATTTTCTCCCGCACGGCGTATCGGCGCATGGTCATTTGAACGGCCGCCATGGAGAGGATTGGCCGTCAACTTTTGGATTTATTCAAATTACATTTCACTTTGAAACTTCACTTGCAAAATTCCCTTTCTACGTTGATGAAATTATGATGACTCTGATTCAGTTTTGCCCGAACAGGTGCCTTGGAGGCTGCGTTGAGTTGAGGTTCCGGCAGCGGAGATGCCGTGGCTGAGCTGGGATTCATGGAGTATGGTTCAGCGTTGCGCATCGGAGAGTTACCGCCATTTCAGCCGAATGAGACACGGACGAACATTCCACGTCAAACGGACCATGCCCCTCGAAACCTTCAGCACAAGTCAGTTCGATGCTGCTGCGGCAGCAAAACGTCTTCATTTGGACTGGCTCTGTCGTCTCCATGTTCCAACCACCAACTTTTTTCCCCTTTGCTGTTGTCATGTCGTCTCATTGCTGGGAGGATCAGCCGTGGCACGCCATGCTTCACCTGCCCGTTTTCGTCGTCCTCTGACCATGCGAGTCAGTACCCGCCCAAACCGCCCTCGTCTTCGCCTCCGCCTCTGCCTCTGCCCGCCTACGCCGCGTCCACGTCACACTGTGAAGATGGCCCCCGGAAGCCTGACGATGACGGCACACTCCACGGGCGGACACGGGACATGGGGCGCTGCTGGCGGGCGAATGCCGGCGTATCTCCGATATCGTATCTGCTGCTTCGCTATTCATTTCGCCCCCTCTTCCACCGCCTTCTCCGTCCGCTGCACAGTGCACCTTGGCTACCTTTTTTCAATGACACCGCCCCCAGGCATGCATTGCACTTCCGCTGCACCCTCGAAATCGGAATTCCTCCGAACTTTTCGGGCCCGCTCTCCACCGATGCCCGAAGCGAGGCAGGCAAGCCCCGGGCACCTCGGTCGGATATGACTGCCGTCGTCCCAAGAGTCATTCATTGGACCTGCTGCATCCCCTGGGCTGACGCGCGCAAGTGTAGCAAGATGATGATTACGGAAACACCGCTGAGCTCGCTGACTTGATTCACAGGCGATCCCTCGTTATCGGATCATGTTCACACGCCGTCAAACTACTTTTCCGCGCCTCTTTTTCGGCGCTCCCGCTCCGACCAGCTCAGTCGCTTCCGGCGCTACCTCCGGCACCGGCACGCCTGTCGGTTCTACGATCTCCTTCTTCACGACTTCCTCGACAATCTCCTCCGTCTTGATGACTGTATCGTCTCCGACTTCGACCTTGACCTCCCTCGCTTTGCGACCCTCGGTTACCTTCTTCCTCTCCGCCGCCTTACACAAGCCCTTCAATCCGAGCTGGCAATCTCCGCACTTTCTCCCGACGGGCAAGCAAACAGTCTGTCCGAGGCCGACAAGCAGCCAGTTGATTTCACGCCACTTGTCCTTCGGGAGCCAACTCTGTAACGCCATTCTCGTCCCTTCAGGCTGCGTTGTCTTGTGCCAGCCCCAGAGGTTGGTAATGCGGTGCACGTGGACGTCCACGCCAATACCCTCCGTCTTGTCCCACGCAGCCGAGAGACACAGATATCCCATCTTCGGACCTACGCCCGGTAGAGAGGTCAACCCTTCTATCGTGTCGGGGACGTCGCCGTCGAACTTATCGCGAAGGATCTCGGCCGCGGCTTTGATATACCTAATCCCGTCAACATTGCTTAGAGAGGCATCACTCATGACTACTGACTTGGTCTTGTTATTGTGAAAGCCAACCGCCCAGATCAGCTCGTTCAACTTGTCCGGTTCCACAGCCAAGATATTTTCCAGACACAAACCACCCTCCGCACCCTCTTTATGCGGAGGCAGCTCCATCATCAACCTCTTCATAGCTACGGCATTCACCGTGTCCTTGGTCTGGCTCGAAAGCATCAGCGCAATGAGGATGTGAAACCGCCTATCCCGCTCGGAAGCATCGGGATGGAAAAGTCTCTCGCAGCCCATCGTGTCCACGGCCGCGTCCTTCGCCGCGCCGTGGAGACGCATCTCCTTGACCTGGTTGTACATCTCCTCCCAGTCAGACGGGGGCTCCACGCGGATGTCCTCGCCCTTGATCACACGCGCCGGCTTCCTCTCCCTCTTGGGCTTCGTAGGTTTCGTAGATATGACCTCGGTTTCTTCAGCCTCGATCTTGACGGTGGCGCTCGGTGCGTCGTCCGCCGCCGCCACCACCCTCCTCCGTTTCCTGCGAGGCGGGCCCGTAACGGCATCCTCAATGTCGTTGCCGAGAACGATGTCCTGGAGCGAGGAGGTGTCAGGCGCTGCGGAGTCGGTCGTGTAGGCGAACCGGGCGAGGGAGGAGCGCGTCGTCCGGCGCGGAGGTGGTGGCGAGGTGCTAGCTTTGAAGACGGCGGAAGTATCCTTGGAGAGGCGCGACGTCCTCATCTTTGCTGAATGTTCCAATCTGCTCCGCTAAGTGGAAGATTCCTGTGATGTCGATTAAAGAAATGAAACCGGGTGCTGTAACACGGTAACACTCTATCGAGACGTCGCTACAAGGCGAACGCGGAATTGCCAGCCGTGCACGCACCCTGCCTCTTCTGCACTACGTAATCGCAAAAGGGGACTCCAGGGTTGGTTGATAAAGGTGGGTCACCGCGGCTGGGAGGACCCTTGGATGGGAACACTGATGCCCGGGGGTGGGAAGGGGGAGCTGCGTTGGGGATAGCGCGGGCCGGGGGATTGGGTTTGGTTTTTTTGGTGGTGGTCTGTGCTTCTTGCGATGCCGGTAAGCGAGGCGGTTGATGGGGTGGGGTGCGGTTTGCGATGGGGGCGTGGGAGGTAGGTAGGTTCCGTGGTTGAGTTCAGTGTTGAGTTGGGGCGCAGTGGGTGTGTGATGGGTCTTTTGGATGATGTTTGTGGTGAAGACGATGGATATGAGCCTGAGAGGGGTGAAATTGGTATGTTTGGGTTTATGAGGGTTTAGGTATGGAAAAGGCATCTAGACAGTCGACGGGTGGAGGTCCTCTGGTGTAAGTCAGCTTGGAAAATGCAGCCGTTAACCAGACGGGAACACTGGTCTTTTGCTATTTTGTCCTGATTTCATGGCGGAAAGGTTCAAGTTGAGGATGAAAGTACGTTTTCTTTTGAAGAGATTAATGTCACAGCGTTTTCGTTGGACCACGGCACGGCACGGCTTACCCCAAGTATTTAAATCAGCTAGACGATGGAATGCAACACAAACAAGGCAAATGACATCGTGCTTATTCACGTTCGATACGATTTATCGAGACAGACGGATGAGTAGTGGTTATCTGGATACGTTTGTCTCTGTGTAAGAGCGGCATGTCAACTCTCACGTGCTGCTTGCAAGTCAGGCTCCTGTGTTATGAATACACTTACGACAGAGGCGGAGGAAAGTGTGAAGCGAGACATCAAGGGAAACATGTTTACAACGGCAGGGTCCTGATGTTATATCTCAATCGCTTCTGCCGGTGTGAGCTTTGGCTACCTGTGAGGCTGTGTTGTGTTCAAGAGGCAGGCCGAGGGCTTTCTGCTGAGAATTGGTTGGAATTGGATGTTGGAGCACTGTATAAAAGAGAGTATATTTTCCCCCTTCTTGATTTCAGAGGGCAACGAAAAGAATACCTGTTGAGCATGGGTGTGGATACAAGCATCCAATGGCAATGTGACAGATTGCTTGTCTGACGAGTTGGTGGGCAAAACATGAAGCTGCGAAACTCAGGATTATCGCCCGGCGTCTCTCCCTAGTTTCTTACTATTCTGGCTGAATACATCCAGGATGAAAAAACTAAAGTACGTGTTGTAGTAGGTGATGAGACGCAGATTATGTTCGGCACATGACCAGTCGAACAACGACCAGAGTTACGATGCCTGAGTGAGTGCTACCACAATGACATTGCAATGCGATTGCCATGTATTGGCATTCACACCAACCCACCTGCTTAAATACAAATCAAGAGCAATGCTACACGGAGGTAGCAATTTGATGTTAGGTCCTAAGTCTCTGTGCGTTCGGTGACTATTGACTGGCTGCTTGTTGTTGCGGCCAGAGCTTCGCCTTTTTGCTAGAAATGATTTGACTCGGATGTTAATGGGCTCTATAAAAGCAAACTGAAGCATCGATTACCAAGTCACAGGGCAAATTCAGAAGCCTGACTTCTTGTGTTGGAGTGGGAATATGAACAGCAGGACAGGGAGTGTGATGGCTGTCTGAAGGATGTCACAGACGGGTCAAATTGTTGAGAAAGGTTCGGAATCATGCCTGGCGTCTCTCCCTAGTTTCTCACTATTCCAGATGAAATAACCCAGGATGAGAGAATATATTGCGTTGAAGTAGTAGGTCGGGGGCATTGGCTGGTCTTTTTTCGGGACTGAGACTCTGCTGCCAGCGCCAAAGTTGATACCCAGCACTACCGGTGGCTATTATTGCCCTTGCGTTATTAAGAGAAGGTAGTCTGCTTCACGCTTATATACCCTCCTGAGCGGACAGTGTGTTCGTAAATGTAAATATATTACACCAAGTATTCTTATACAAAAAGGTCTTCGCCTCCCTGGGGAGTAGATATGTACCATAAATCAACGCTCCCAACTCCAAGTAGAACAGAACACCACCGAACCCGTCGTCAGATCGTAAACTCCTCATTCAGCCAGTGCTTCAACACCACCCGCCCCTCGTCAAACGTCTTCTTCTCCCACCTCACGATGATGGCCGCGTGACTGTGCCTGTCATTGTGGATCCACACGGGGTACTTATTCCACCCGACGGCGTCCAGGTTCTGGACCATCTGGAACTGGTAGGGCGCGAGCGCGAGCGTCGGCTGCGAGGGCACCGACATGCGCCTCTCGCGCGCGAGCAGCTGCGTCGTGCTGCGGTCCATCTCGCGCGCGCCCGCGTCGTCCTCGTCGTCCTCGTCCGTCTCGCTGCCGAGGTACTCCTGGTCCTGCGAGCTGTTGAGCGTCTCGTACACGTGCTCGACCTCCTCGCGGATCTCCTTCATCCACAGCGGGCCGCGGTACTCCTCGATGGCGACGCCCGCGAGCCCCTTCTCGTGCAGCTGGATGCGCTTCGAGGAGCGCACCGTCTGGATCGCCGAGTTGAAGAGGAAAGCGACGATGCCGATGGGCACGAAGACGGAGATGGCGAGGACGAAGGGGATGCGCTGGGCCCACGAGGCGACGGAGGACAGCGTCGGCCGGGAGCCGCCGGAGAGCTTGGGGCGCGGGGCGATGGGGTGCTTCGGGTCGAGGATGACGTCCTCGTAGCCCGGGACGTAGTTGACCTTGATGCCGTCGAGGTTGGTGTAGGGGTCCGTCTTGGTGATGCCGGTGGTATAGTGGACGGCGCTCCTGTCGTTGACGATGTTGGTGTAGAGGGTGCGGCGCTTGAAGCGCTTGAGGCCGGCGAGGAAGATGGATTCCGGGTCCGCGAGGACGGCGAGCAGGGGCCGGCCCGTGTCGCGGAAGTTGTCGATGGTGAAAAGCTGGCGGCCCGACATGGAGAGGGTGCGGGCGCCGAGGACGTTCCAGAGGTGGTTGTGCCAGCCGCGCAGGGGGGTGCGGACGCCGAGATGCGGTGTGGCGAAGGTGACGAAGTTCTGGGGCGGGAGTCAGTGATTTTGCGGCGAGAGTGTGGGTGTGGGCGAGGGAGGGAGTGAGTGTGACATGAGAAACTCACCATGCACTCGACGGTGTCGAGGATGCCCTTTGAGTGAAGCAGCCCGACGGCGTAGCGCGAGACCAGGCCGCCGAGCGAGTAGCCCACGATGCTCAGCTTGGTGATCTTGCCGCCCCTTTCCTGGATGGCGCGCAGCTCCTCCTCGATCTCGGCGCAGACGCGCTCGCCGCCGCGCTCGATGCCGTCGTAGGTGAAGGAGCCGCTGTTGCGCTTCGCGAGGAGCAGGTAGAGCTTGTCGGCGGAGTGTTTTGCGCGCAGGCTTTTGGCGATCTGGGCCATGTGGTTGGGGTTACCCCAAAGCTACATACAGGTCGCACGTTAGCATCAAGGTGCACTACACGCTGCAGCAGATCATGACGTCGCCACCAACAGCCAACGGGTTTGCAGGAGCCAGGAGCCATGAGCCGCCCGGTGTCAGCACTTAAACACTGGGAATGGTGTGCTGGCAAGATAGAGCAGACGGAAAAAAAAAGGATGGAGGAACGAACCCCGTGGACCAGGACGCAGAGATGATCGGCCTCCACGGTGCCGCCGGTGTAATCCATTATGTAGCTTGATGAGATCAGGGACCGGTCAATAGAGCGAAGGGAGAATGGCAACAACGCTTCTTGTAAGTGGGATGTTGGGGGTCGAAGGGACGCTCTTTTGGTGGGACGCGGGCCGAGTTAATATTCCCGGGGCGAGCCACAAAAGAGTCCCTCCAACGGAAAGTCCGCACAGTCCGACCGGGGGAGCTGAATCCCGCCGCCTCGGATGGTGGACTGTTGGACTTTCAGATGGTGTTTTTTTCTTGGTCCAGTGTCTGTTTCTCGCCTCACCTCGCCCTGCAGCGCAGCGACTCCCGGGGATGGGGGAGATTCGATGACACTAACACCGGGCGCTGCAGGCTGCTAAGGTAGGTGGACTTAAGGGGAGATAAGGCGATGGATGGGCCGTTGGGTGATGTGCTCCAGCGCGCTATTGGTGTGGTTTGTGCCGTGCGCCGCGTGGCTCTAGGGGTGGAAGTTGGTCCGCGTCCGCTATCTCCCGTCGGGTGGTGCCAATTGGGCGCACTACTGGTGCTGGATGGTGGATAGTCGAAACGCAATTGGAATGCGCGCACGCGACAATTGGTCGTCCGTTTGTAGGTGTCCGTACCTAGGCTCCAGCGCGGGACCGCGGCTGCGGATGACTGTGGATGCTCGGCTCCGGTCTGTAAGGCAACACTGAAATGTGACGCAATGGCGTGGGATCGATCTCCTTGGGTTGGGTGACTTTCTCTCTGCAGGTCGCCTGCAAGATCAGGTCGGGTTCCTGAGGCCAACCTCAGTCCGTGGAGCCGCGGTCTGATGGATCGAAGAGCTGGCAATACTGAGTGGTGACGGTATTAGTCGATAGGGCTGGAGCAGCTACAGCTGGTCGACGATGGAGTCGTGCTGCTGGGATCCCCTGTGTTCAATCGCATTCAAGCAGCAGAAGGTTGATGTCTGTCTTGACGTCGGAAAAGTCAAGTTTGTGCCAAAATCACCGAAGTGTCGAGGTTTCTATTCTTCTCTCCATAACTCTCCGATCTATTTAATGGCAGGGCGCGAGTGCTTCATTTATAAGGGGCCCCCCAATCGAGATGGAAACTCGCAGAAGCCCAGATACCCCTCTGCGCGGACGTAGGTCCGATCTACATCGTAGATAACGATTTCTCGATAGATGATGGAAGCTGTTCGCCCCTCACTCTCAGTAAACCCCCGTTCACCGCCATGGGTTTCTACCCAACCGTTGCGCCGCGATAGGAAAGTCCATCCTCGAGACCAGGGCTGCCCAGCTTGTGCTCGACGGCTTGGTGCCACTAGCACCCGCCGGGGCTGAGATACCGGACAGCCGTTATCAACAACGAGTAGATGGATGGGCTTCGCACTTGCTTTGTTCGAATCAGCGTTGCGGCACCCAGCTCAGTGAGAATATGAATGGCCCGCAAGAAGGGAGAAGAAGCAACGGAGCACAGGCAGGGGGCTTCGGTCACATGCCAACCTGCGCGTCGTACAAGATCGTCATTGTGCTTGCTTGGGCGCCGTCAAGATAAGAAGAGTGCGGTGGCACAGGTGTCTTGGATGTCGAGCGGCCGGAGCAGGAAGCCAAGATTGAGCAGGCCGGAGTCGAGAAGGGGAAGAGCTTGGCCATGGCGCTAGATACGTCCGATGGCGTCCATATCGGCCCTTATCTGCCATGTCTGTGTGCTTCCCTTCCAGACTGGACATGAGACGGTAGACGAAATAGAGTTCGCGTGCCTGGATCTCCCGCGATAAGACTTTCAAGGGGATATCAACCTACCACCCCTTGAATCACATCAATGTTGCGGAGAATGAGGGGAGGACGATGTTCGTGTGCACCACATCAATTAGCACGCATTTGACGCGCGTTGGTTGCTCCGGGTTGCATGACGCAGCGCGAGGTGATGTGGAAGTGCGAAGCTGCTTTTCATTTGGGACGATGGCCGTTGACGGAAAATGGAAGAAGCAAGAAAACAGAGATCAAGAGGTGACCGGCAGATCATGACTCAGCCCGGCGGTCCATCTCCACGGTAATGAGCTAAAGAAGAAGGAAAATGACGAAGAGAGACGACTGGCCTCCTGACTCTGCAGTCTTTCCAAAAGAACACAATATCTACCCTCTCGTAAACACGCAGTTGACGCTATTGGGACTCATTCCGCCAGACGTTGGAATGTTGGAAGCTGCAAGGTGGTGGCTTCTGGACCGCCGCCAGCCACATCCCTGTACGGTTCGCCCCGCCACCACCCATGGAATACACTGGGTGACTGAGGTGGAAGCCAAAGTTAGAGTCTTACATAAGCTTAGAAGACGCTCGGAGCCTCTCTTCATCCCAACTCCGACCGCATTTGAGACACATCAACCATCTGTGACACTGTCCCAAACCCTCCCACCTTTATGCCATGAACGTTTCCGATGTCCTGGTGTGGCCGCCCCCCTTTTGAAAAAACGCTGAACGGTTGATGGTCACCCAATCTTGCCAATCTCGCATCATTCCTGTGTCAGCCTCGCCCTGGCCATCTCTAGACACTAGCCCGTGGCTCCCCGAATTCTCCGACTGCGACGCTGCCACTGCAGAGACTGGTCCGGCTGCGGTTTTGGCTATGAGATCGTCGGTCCGCTCCCCCGGATCTTCGAGGCCTTAATCGGCTCACGCACATACGGATACAATCTCACTCATTTTGGCTCCATCTCCCTTACAACCGCCTCTGCATTGCATTGCTCTGGAACTTGGTACCTCCCGCCAGTCTAGGCCCAAAGCTCACGCCGTTTCCGTTCCTCTCACCGCACCACACCTCACCGCATCTCACTTGGAGCTCTTGCCTCAAGTAGATGTCGACACTAGGGAGGCAAGGTCCTTCCACACAAGTCCACGATACCTTCTGTTTGTTGTGTTCGTCGTCCTCAGTACGTCAGCTGCAACAGCAAGAGCCGCCAAGCTGCTCCTGCTCTTGACCGCCACGTCACGGTCTCTTCGCGCTAGCCTCTTGTACTTTTATTCCCGTTGAAAGATTAGATTCCTGTCACAATGTCCTTTGTCGACCTCAAACACATCCCCTGTCCCGCCGGAGACAAGTGTACTGCATTCCAGTGCCTCTTCCAGCATAAAGAAGACAGGGATAAGATGGCTGCCACATCAGCACCGGCAATCAAAAAGTCAGGAACGTCGGCCCAGACGTCGACTGATGCCTCGACGAATGCAACCCAGGATGGCCCTCGAAAACGTCCGAAAGTTGCCCAAGACGTCAGCGGCCCCGCCGTCTCTGCAAGAACTCCTACTCCTGTCAAAACCGCCTCAAAACAAGACACAACGGCACCGAGACCAGATGACACTCTGTCAGCTGTCGCTCGCCCCATCTCTCCTCCACCTTTAAATCGCCAGACCGCCTCTTCCTCCAGGCCTGTCTCGGCTGTGAAGAAGGGCACTCATCTTCACCCTGCTGTCCCTTCTCTCGCTTCAACTCCTTCGTCTCATTCCAACAACTCATTGAATCACTCAAAGTCCTCTCCTTTATCATCGAGTAATCACCCACCTAAGCGGAAGCTTGATTCACTTACCGGCAACACCCCAACTACTACTACTGGCACGTCTGCCTCCACCCCAAAGTCAAAAGCAACTTCAGTCTCACACGATACCACCACTACTACTTCTACCTCACCTCACACTCCTTCAACCCCATCCAAGGAGCCGCCACCCAAGCTCAGAAAACCTGAAGCTCTCAACCCTCGCTTGCTCAAAGGCATCAAAGCTCCAGCGGAGTTCAAGACTCGCTTCAGGCTAGCGCAGTTGCTACACCAAGAGTATACTCGCCTCAACAACGAACTTAAGAAAACCGCAAAAGACGACGACGAGAAGCAGCTCGTCCTCACGGACCAAGACCTTATCTGGAGAACCCTCGACGAAGAGGAGAACACTGCCATCGAGAAGAACGCCATTTACGGAAACGTTCTCAAAAACAAAATCATGCAGTACAAGAAGATGACGCTGCTGCAGTGGAAGGAGGAGAGAGTCGTCCAGCGTCGCCAGCAAAGCCCAAAGGGCCCCCACAAGAAACTTCTCGCCTCGCCCAAGAAGGTGGTCACGGGCTTGACGCCGGCCCAGGAAGTCCAGCTCGTCCGTCATCTCATCACACCCATTGACGGCCTCGCCAACCACGGCTACGTCTCCTCCATCCCCAGTGAAGCAGACGTCGAGAAGGCCCGCCAGGGTCTCGAAGCCGCCAAGGGCTGGGAGAAATGCGATCGCTGTGAGAAGCGTTTCCAGATGTTCCCCGGCAGACGCGAGGAAGACGGCGCGCTCGCCTCGGGCGGCAAGTGCACCTACCACTGGGGCAAGACGTACTTCCCGGAGCGCCAGGTCGGCGACAGATCCAAGACTCCCAAGCGGTACCGCTGCTGCGGCCAGGCCGTTGGAGACTCGGCCGGCTGCTACACCGTCCCTCACCACGTCTTCAAGGCCTCCGACCCCAAGCGCCTTGCCACTGTCCTCAACTTCGCCGAGACGCCCGCCAACTCCAATGTTCCCTCTGACAGAGCCGTCGCCTTCGATTGCGAGATGTGCTACACTGTCTATGGTCTGGAGCTGGTGCGTCTCACCGCCACTGCCTGGCCTACCGGTGAAGAGCTTTTGGATGTGCTCGTGCAACCTGTCGGTGAGATCCTGGATCTCAACTCGCGCTATTCTGGGGTTTGGCCTGAGGACATGGCTAATGCAGCACCCTGGTCCGCCAAGGAAGAGGACCCCACTCCCGCTCAGGCCAAGAAAATGGCCAACAACAACAACAACAACAACAACAACAACAACAACAACAACAACAACAACAAGAAGCCCAAGAAGACGATGAAGATTGTCTCCTCCCCATTGGTTGCCCGCGACCTCCTCTTCTCCCTCATCAGCCCCGACACACCTCTCATCGGCCACGGCCTGGAGAACGATCTGAATGCCGTCAGAATCGTTCACCCCACTCTCATCGACACCGTCCTTCTCTTCCCCCACAAGTACGGCCTCCCCTACCGCCAGGGT